GCATTTATACCTACCTTTCCTGTAGTAAGTTCAAAGTAGTGTACATGGCTCACCTCTTCCCCCCCCCCACCTTATCCTCCTAACAACCCTATAAAATAGCTTAGGTTGAAAAAGAATGACTGATTCAAGACCACCCAGTGAGTTTCATGGTTCAGTAATGACTGCAACTGCGATTTCCCAAGTCCCAGTTAAATACAGTAACCACTAAGCCACACTGGATTTTGGACTCAGAAGCTGACAAACTGGTGGTGATAAGACAGAAGGTTGAAGAATCACAGAAATCCAAGTTGCTGGAAACATCCAGCCAGATGGACAGTGGCAGAGACACAAAACCCACTAGAGTTGGTTTCAACTAGAACAAACGTGACTGAGGGTAGCAAATCTTGCAGTTTGTTATGAAAAATGGCCTGTGACCCTTTCACTGAGGTAGTTTATTGTTTGGATTATTAAATGCCTGTCTGTGCATTTTTAATTTTTTTTTTTTGAAAGAGAGAGAAAAATGCAAACAAAAATGTATAGTTTTGCAGATGGAATTAGGGTTCAAAGTATAGGTCACACAGATCAGATTATAGCAATAAGAATTTCCTGTGCTGAAAACTGAGAACCTTTTATTTTCAAAAAACTTTTAGAGAGCACACCAAAATTATTGGAGACATTTGCCTAAGGCATATCTTAACCTTCAAAAAATGGGAAGGAAAGGAGCAGATTGGGAGAAAATAATGTTTTGCAAGATCACCTAATTTTGGAATTAAGTGTGCAAATGTTCTGATAAGAAAAAGTGAGGAAAATCTGCATAGAACAGAATCTAAGCCAGCTACGTTAAACATTTTCTAAATCCCCAAGGCAGAACAGTGTGTAGTAATATCTGCATGACTGCATGCCGAAAGAAGGCAGAACAAGAATGTGGTGAAGTGTAGCGAAATGAAGATGAGTCAGAGGGTTATGAGTCACATTCATGTGGTGGAACCCCTGGAAGGGTGGAGAAAAGTCAGTCAGAAATTTAAAAATGAAAAAAAAAAAGACTCCATTGTGGACTTGCAAGAAACTGTAAGCCTCAAAACTGTACTAACTTAAAGCAGAGAGGCAAACAATCTGAAGAAGGGACTGCAGGGATGCTTAATACAAAAGTCTCTCTGTATATGTCTACTCAAAAGTACCATTGACTGTGTGTAGTTAGTGGTTAGTATATGTAGAATTCTAGCCTCGTTTAGCAAGGCTGAGTACTAATTTGCATGAGTGAACATGCTTGCTTCCAGAGATTTCTTTTGAAATGTAGAGTCAGGACAGAATGTTGTGGCAGCTGGAATTTTATGTGGAATACCTGTGGAAGCCACCTCAGAGAGCAGGGTTCGGGAGTCATGAAAGGGCAGCAATATTGTTAGTTATTTGATTTACAAATATTGTGTTTCTACTGCCAAAATTTGGGTGAAGTTGCTTCAGGAATTTTTTGCCACTGTGCATCTGGATTTGCATGGGGCAGGGACTGTTGAAGATGACTGGAGGGAACTCTGAAGAAGTTGTATGTCTTTGCATGTGGAAAAGAGAAGGAGGGGGCAAAGTGGAACTTCTCAGGTTTCCTAGACTGTCCTTTATTTGTTTTGGTCTGTACAAAATTCCTTCGTATGCCTTCTTCTTGGAAGAGATGTGTTGCCTTCATTCTGGAGAGATGAAAGAGTCAGCCCTGGTTTCCAACAGACTAACGGGTCATATCCAACTTATTTATTTATAACTAGGACTTCCATCACCTTTCCTTTCTTATTTTCTTACAAGTGTGGACCTGATACTTTAGAAAATAAGAACTGTGTCCACGCAATCATTCTTGAGTTTCACAGAGCTGAATCCACAAGTTACTGTTTCCGCTGTCCTGCTGTTCTGCTTACTTTGGAAACCGTGTGTTTGCTACTTTGACTCAGGCATCAAAATGTATTTGGCTGGCAGGCCCCGCTGTGTGCTGTGCTTCAAAAAAGAGAGAGGAAGAAATGGAATATTGGCCTATGATCACATCCTCTTACCTCAAGTGACACCAAATATTTATGTGTCTGCTTACGAATACATACAGTATGTGACAGTTTATGCCTATGAACAGCACTCTCATGGTGTTAAGTTGAAAGCAGATTACCATTAGGTGGTTTGCTACTTTCAATTACTTCTGTTAGTGAACTCTTATAGTATGAAACTGTAACTGTACTTAAGCTTTTATTATGTGCTTTTAGTGTAACTCATTTCTTGTTGTTTGGTTGTTGTTAAGTCATGTCCAACTCTTCATGACCCCATGGACCAGAGCACGCTAGGCCCTGCTGTCTTCAACTGCCTCCCGGAATTTGGTCAAATTCATGTTGGTAGCTTTGGTGACACTGTCCAACCATCTCATCCTCTGTCGTCCCGTTCTCCTCTTTCCTTCACACTTTCCTAACATCAGGGTCTTTTCCAGGGAGTCTTCTCTTCTTGTGAGATGGCCAAAGTATTGGAGCCTCAAGCTTCAGGATCTGTCCTTCCAGTGAGCATTCAGGGTTGATTTCCTTCAAAATGGATAGGTTTGTTCTCTTTGCAGTCCAGGGGACTCTCAAGAGCCTCCTCCAGCACCACAATTCAAAACCATCAATTCTTCGGTGGTCAGCCTTCTTTATGGT